GATGTATCTTGTTGATGATGATTTTTTTCTATACGAAATGTTCCGTTCCATCTACTTCAACAATGCATACAGTAGGTGTGTCCGGTCACCAGAGGATACTTACCAGTATACACCCACTACCACCTCTAACATTTCTGGGATTCCGTGTTTATACCATGTTCACAGATTTGTATTGTTTGTAGTTTATATCTTTTATGAGAATAATAACTATTCATCAACTTTACCTTTTTTACATAGAGATTGAGTATTTTAAAATGGAAATAAACATTTATGCTGCAAATTTTTGATAAAGTTTTATTATATCACGTATGTTACAGCTGTAATCAAAACAAAACGAGTTCTTAGAATATTAAAAGAAATATCAATAAGAACATTTATGAATAGATATCAGGTAATTTTGGCTGTTTCATTTTTTATTTTATTTGTTTTATTTTTAATTTTATTTTTTTGCAGATTATAATTTTGATAAAAATTAGGCATACAGATGTTAAGATAATTTGGAACAATACTTCTCGGATGTATCTGCAAGTACATAGACATGAACTGTTTATTTTCAGACTTCAGACCAAAGTTAAAATTACTACAGTTTATGTATAAAAGGTGAAAATAAGAAACATTGATCAATTTTATAAACGCAATCATAAAAATTTTCAAATATTTAATAGGGCAAAAACAGGGACTCCTGAAAATATCATAGGTAAAATCCGCTTTTTTAGGAAAATGTCTACTAACCAAATTAAAATCCATCGCTGCTTATTACAGATTGTTAGCAGAGAAATCTGCATCAGAGAAAAACATATTTCTGATATATTTTATCCAGATTGATATAATTGAAAATAAATCTATTCTATTTTCATTGTAATTTTTCCTTGTAAGCACATATATATATGCTAACCATGTTTATTCCTGAATATTTCTGTGTAAAAAAATTTTTATTTGGTATATCGCTAGAATATATACGCATTTTTCAAAAGGAAATATTTAAGCAGGAAAATGTGTCAGAACATTGAAGTCGGTCGCGTGGCACAGAGTTTAGAGTGTTTGCACAAGAGTTGAGAAGTAAGGAGTTAAAACGTTGTGGGTTCGAATCCCATCACGGGACCTAAAGACCGTTCCTTCAGATGATACTGTATAAACCAAGATCCTATGTCGCAATATAAGTTGGCATGCAAAAGAAATTCTCGCTACTCAATGTCCCTGAGTGATGAGCATGGGTTAAAAGAATTATAATCTTCAATCTGCTAATAGTGGCGTCTAAATATGCATAGCAGAAAAATTCTAGAAGGGACTTTAAGGGTCTTTAGGCCTTCGTTTTGTTACAAACGTTTACATAATTATATGATGAAAAATTGGCATATAAATGTAATTGGCATATAAATGTAATGCTCACTCCTCCATGGCACCTGATCCCACCTCTGATGTTTCGGATGCTCTTATTTTGTATATTGTTTAATGGACGTTGAGATTGAATACTGTTCGTTATCTCCATATCCTTCTTTGATGGTATTTTAAATTGTAAGTTCTAAGTTTGTATTAAAAATATATATTTCCCCTTCATATTTTTTTTTATAAAAACAAGAATTGTACGTATTTGTTGAAGATTCCAGAGTTGATAGATATTTATATCCTGTCTCTCGAACAAAAAAAGCTTCGTAACTCATTTAACTACTGAGAGAATTTTACAATTAACGCCCCTACCAAACTTCTAAACCTGGCGTACAGGTAGTGAACTCAAATTTGAAAGGGTTTTTTTCAACAGAATTAAAACAAATCAGAAAAGTTACTAAAACTGTAAATACATACATTATTGTAAGACAAAAAAAAAAAATAAAAATGTAGGACGTTTTCACACAAAAGCTTAAGTAGCTTAAATAGTTTTACCAACAGAGAAGGTAAAGTGCAGGACCATTATGACCCTATTTAAAAATTTACACTTAATAAAACACTTAATAAAACACTTAACTAAAGAAAGATCGCTCCATTTTATTTTCACATTGCCCATTTAGGCATCTATCAAATATCAAGGAAGGAAGCTTATCAATTGGATTTACTTTTCTTCCTTCATCGATTTTTTACTTTTATTCCCATGCCTTGGTTTACAAGAAGCGTGGGAATTGATAAGAAAATCCTGCTGATTTATACTTAATGTATGGAACATTTAAATGATAAGGAAATTAATTCAATCACCTGTATACTTTTCAATGCTGAACTGATTTGTGTTTTTTTTTCAACCAATATGCTCAGGTGATCGATGTGATCGAGGTCCATGGGCCTTGATTAAGTTAAGGATATGATCGGTATGATTCCTATCAATCTGCTGGCCTTCGGTTTGAAACAAAAGTTTACATAATTGCACGGCGATAATTTGTCATAAACGTAAATGTAATTCTAAGATGACTTTTACTATAAGTTCCAAGAATGTATTGAAAAAAAAATAATCAATCTCACATTCATAAAAATTCTTAATCTTTATTATATGTTAGTTTTCTTGGCCTTCTTAATATAAATTTAAAAAGCCCTGCAATGTAAAAGGTAACGATATCGATCAGTATTCAATTTTAACAAATACATTAATAAAACAAATATCTGTGAATATGTAATTGAGCACGGATTACTGGAAGTTTGGATTTGGGGTCCGTTTTACAAAAGAAGTTACGACTAAGACCAAAAACTTCAGATGATTGTAAAATTTTGCAAAATTAATAATTTTCTTCAAAATTGTTTGTGAAAAAATATCATACCACATTTCTTCAATTAAAATAAGTTTAATGTTTATTAAAAATTATATGAAGAATCAAATTTAATCTTAAGTCTTAGTCCTTTTGTAAAACGGACCCAGGTGTATAGGAAGAGTAAGCATCCCATGTGGACCGGCCACACTTGTCGTGAGCCCTTCCGGTATGTCTTGATAAGGCAGACAGACGTTTTTGGTGTCAAATTCCATACAAATAACAGTTTAACAATTGGTATGAAACAAGCCAAAATACAACCCATTAATGGGTCATATTTTCTAACAAGGTCAAATTTTATTATCATATACAGCTTAAACGAAACGTTGACTTTAATCAAGGTCGGTAAAATTCCTGTTACATCAATTTATCTTATATAAATATAGTACAGAGAAAAAATCTCATTAGACGTGTTTGATTAGCTTAAAATAGACTTTTTTTTAGATTTATACAAATACAATTTACCTTGAATTAAAAAAATGAAGACACGTACAGTACATGTATTTGAATGTTAGGAAACGAACTTTTCGTGCAGGCGTATATCCCTGATTGATTTATAATTAGATATTCCAATTGACTTCAGAATAGTGAATCTAATTCAAATTTCTACACAAATAATATATGAATTTTATGAAGAAATAGAAAAAATAATTTGTCACTCTTAAGTTTTAAAATATTTACCAGTAGATTGAAGATTTTCCAAGAGAATGTAATATTCAAAGTAGATTAAGATGAAATATGAACAGTTTATAAGCTCAAAGTCCATTTCAACAATACAAACCAGTTGCAAAGCAAGCATTTACATATATTTCAAATGATCGAAAAAAAAACTCCCTATATATAGAAGCAAAAAATAACGGCCTTGAATTGCCCTGATACAACATTAAGTTTTATTGATAACAGCATTCTACGTGCGATGTTGTCGTTTTTATGAATTTGTAAAAAAAAAAAAAATAAAAATAAAATAAAATAAAGAAGAAAAGAAAAGAAATGGAAAGAATCTATGCTTTAGTGCGTCTAATTTCAAAATTTCAAAACAAAATTCCGAAATAAAGAAACTAATGAACAAATATCTATTCCTCTTTGTTAGAGTACGAAATGAGTCATAATTAAGATATTCTATCCATAATAGCACCATATTCAATTAAAATAATACATAACAGATTTGCAGGTGCTGAATACGTAGTTTATTTAGACACCATTCCCATTAATTACTATTAATATGAAAGGGTGGGATGTATCCTAACTTATGAGCTTGAATTTTGGTAAGAGATATTACTCTCTGTGTTTAATTAATAAAGAAATCAACTCGAAAATCTTATCTGGTAGAAATTGTTCTAAACTTTTATTTTATTTATAATATTTTAATACAACTTTCCACCACAGTATTTAATGACATTCTTATTTAATTTGTATTACTATTAAAAATTCCTTTTCCCCATAGACTTTAATGTAATCTCTGTTAATGAACTACTGCTTAGTTAATTTAATTTCTGAAACTTCTCCTGGTTAATCTTTTTCTACTAAAATTGCTTTGATTAAACATAAGAGAATTATGTACTTGATGGACATTTAAGGGTAGAGAATTTGGTCCTTTTAGGGTTGGAAATCCTTAAATTCATTTATCACATATCATTTAACAGAACATTATCAATTTTATTCAAACATGGTGAATGGGTTATACTTTAGATTAATAAATTTTAGACTCTTTCTTAGATTTATATATGAACGCATGTTTTATAGTGAAGGCTTTCTAATTTGATGATATGCATATCGATACAGTCGCCCGCGCGTTGATAGCTGTAAGAACATCTGCTGTAGAGTCGCAAAGAAAGGAGTTGATCCTTACGTCGCAGATTCGAATTCGACTAGGAGACGTGAAGACCGGTCCTTCGGATTTGATGGTATAAACTGAGGTCCCGTGTCGCTCGAGGTGCTGACACAAAAGAATCCCTCCAATTTCATTTCCCTGTGCGTCGAGTATAGGACGAAATTTACACTTCTCCACTGGCAAGTGGTGGCGTCTCTATAAGAATAAAAATTCTCCATAGGGATGTTAAACAATATACTATCAATCAATCAATAAAGTCAACTAAATGTGTACTAGCCCATTCACATGTGAAACACCATCAAAGCACTTGACTCGAGAAATCAAAAGCAGTGTGACCTTTCAGTTTATGTCTGTACATTAAACCAATCAAATTATTCATTTCCCCATTCAAGAATATAAATAGATTCTGAACATACATTTGATTATATTGGTTGCTGGTACATTGTATCGGGACTAGATCTTTATAAATATTTTATATTACTATCAGAAGAAAACATGTTTACCGTAAAGTTATTTTATGTGTCAGTATTTGCTACATATTGGTTCAGTAAGTATTAAAATACTTTTGTATGTTTCCTGCGATTTTTCAGATTTCTATTTCTATAAATATTTAAGGAAGCTCTAAACACTAACAGAAACTGCTATTTGGACTCCGAGAAAATATATCATATAAAGATATGTATATAGAGACTTTTTCATTCATTTAGAACATAGGTTACGTGCCTCATTTGCATCGGAAAAATGTTCAAAGACAATGGACAATTTGTAAGCATTGGGGAAATAAATAAAAAAAAATTGGCTATATTTCTTACTCTTGGTCTAATAAAATGCTAGAAATATTTTAATCTATTATAAATTATGTAATTAACGGTAAATAATCATTTCTTTAATCTTACATCTAAAGGCAGATCACTCTAATTGCATAAAACTACCCAATAAATAGAGCTCTTTAGTGTGCAGTGTTTAGAGCGTCCTTAAATGATGTACAAATATTTGATTGCATTTCAATGCAAAAATATTTATACTTACTAGGGTTGACCGGTAAAAGCATGGACAAATTATCTAGAGTGAAAATAATCACCACTGCGTTTTAATATTTTCACACCTCTTAAGTACATTTATTCATCCATATTTATATATAGCGAATAGTAGTTGATTTCAAATAGATATATGTTCAAATAAACAAGACATGAGATTTTATGTGTTGTATCGCCAAAAGGCCCAGGGATGATTAACTCAAAGTGTCTACAACAGCCTACGTTTTTTCCTTGCTAAAAGAAAGATGAATAAGTCCAACCTAAATTCAGGAATATGTTGATGCACATATTTCAGCGTCTCTCGCTATTATCATAGAAGTTTGTCCGTATGCTTTGTTTTATCCAGGGCCTAAATTAACTTGTATACTAAACTTCTTATGATATACATTGTAGGTATTTTTTCTTCAGTAGCCTTTGAATGGCTTTTAGGGCGTCATTACTACATTTAAATTTGACTTAACTGCTCTCCGGTGTTCCTTAACGTCATCAAACCTCACCATTTTTCAGGTGTTGTGTTTACCACTTTCCGAATTCAAATGCTTTGGAAACTGCCAGAAATAAAGTAAATGCCTTGAATTTTCCAAAAAAAAAAAAAACAGCATAATTAATTATTGATAAATAAATAATGCAATAAAAGAGATAATTGTTAACCCAGCCTTATCAATTTAATACTTTTATTTCTGTTCAATACTTATGCAATCTCTTGTCGCCCGCATGGCACAGTGGTTAGAACGTCTGCTCTGATCCTTACATCGAAGGTTCGAACCCCACTGTGGGATGTGGAAACCGTTCCTTCGGATGAGACCATTGCGATTAATTGTGTCGCAGTGGGTGTTGATACGAAAAAGATCCCTCACTGCTTAATGACCCTGAGTGTCGAGAAGTGGTTAACATTTGAAGTCCTCCATCGGTAAATTGTTGAGACTCCATGTAAGTGAAAAATTCTCTAGAGAGACGTTAAACAACAACAAACAAAACAAAAAAACTTATATATTCTCTAATGAAACCCGGTTTTATTTCGTTTAACGCTGTTGGACCGTAAACTGTGCACATTCAAGCATGATAAAATCTTTATTTAGTCAATATTTTTAAAGTGAGACAATGAGACAAAATCATGTGTTTCCTTTAAAATATCTGTGGCATACAGAGATAGACATGAAAATTATGAGTAAATAGCTAAGATATGACAATTAAAGACTGCACAATATAAGTGTCGGAAAAACAAAGGTTGTATCTACCTTTTCTTTGTTTTCGTGAATATTAAGGTCGCACTACTTTTATTATTTGCTAAAACTTGTAAACAATATTCAACTCGAGCATGCAAAGGTGAGAAATATGATCTAACAACTTTTTAAAAAGATTGCATCAAAATTTTTTGTCTACTGATGCTTGAGACCATGGAGACTATAGAAACTTATTCAACTTTTCTGCGCATGCGTACAATAGGGAGGAGGAAGAAACGCAATATTTCCGTTATTGGGCATATTGAAATTATTCTTTCTTTTATTTTTCTCCATAAAAATAGAATTGTTAGGTTCTGAAACCTGTAATTTTCTGAAACCTCAAACATTTCGTAATGGTACACAATTTACACGGGTCATGCAAAAATTCTACATATATCAATTTTCCCCTTTGCCACTTTGTGCGTCACAGTGTCTCTTTAAAAGAAAAAAAATTAAAATTAAAATGTACTAAAATCTGATTAGCAAAAGAAAAAAAAAATTAAATAAGTGTCCTTATTAAATATCGATAAAAACGCTTTATGATTTTTTTGCTACTTAGCGGACAATATAATTTTCGTATATTCGGGTTCAAAAACATATCGATGATTTTTGATTAGACACAAGATTTGAAGATTGAACAATAAATAAAATAATAAATAAAATTTTATATTTCAGTTGGTATTTTCTTTGTAAATATATGTATATCATAATATTATGATCAATTTATAATTTAGATACTTCTTTCGGAGTGAAAACTATATCAAAGAAAGTAAATCTCCCTTTATTAGAGGAGATAACGATCACATCACCAGGATATCCATGGACAAACTATGAACGGGACACAATTTATAGATGGATGGTGACAGCACCTGACGTCACAGAAGAGATACATATAAGGATAGACTTGGATATTCACCAAACTGCAGGATTTGCATGTTATGACTACTTGAAGGTTTTTGCAATAAACATTATGCACGATGTTTGAAGTTGTAAATTATGAACCTTGAAACGAAAATTAATATGCTACTTCATTATACTGTACAGAGATTTTTTTGAATTGATTTACATTAATTCTTCGACAATAAAAAGACTCTAAATATTTTTACTTAAAGAAAATTTAAAGAATATTTCAAATTTACGAAAACATAACGAAGTGTGAAATTCGTATGTAATATTTATTTTACAAATTTTATCTTATATCATATTAAAGCAAGAAAGCACAGAAAATATTATAATAATAAGATGAATCCAAATAAAAAAAAGGGCTTTGCATTGCACGTCCATTTTTCTTAAATTATTTTTGTTAGGCAATTATCACTTGTAATGTAATTCCAATGAATTTTACTAGATAGAGGAAATCACAAATGATATTTTCGGGCTCTTTAAACAATGTGGGAGACGAACAGCTTATAGAGTAGCAAGTGGATGCAAACTAATGATCATTCTCTTCTCGAATTTCGACATATTTACGGGTAAAGGTTTTCGACTACGTCTTAAAGGTAAGTATCTTAACAATTCTTGTCGAATTTTCCATATACAATGTATAATAAGCCTTTCTTCTATCTGATATTTTAACGATAAAACTTGGAAAATTATTTTATGGGCATCAAAATAACATAACATCACATCTTATTCTACAGATATTTCATGTCAAGAATAAATGAAACATTTGAACAGAAACTATGCTACTCAAGTATGAATTGAAAATTTATTTACAATAATGGGTCTGTCATGTTTTTTATACATGTGTTGCATAATATCTCAAGTCCTTTTGCCCACTATCAGTTGAAATGCGTAGGTATCTATTTTCATACGTATTATTATAGATGGTCATCGCTACATGTATTATTACTATGGTTACTTGTTAATGAATGAAACCCCCCGCCCCTTGTTTTCTATATATCTTTTCGTCATTTACAAAATAAATGACATTATTCGTTTTTATGTACAAGAATTCTTCGCCTGCTCTGAGCAAAAAACGAGCTCAGTCTCTTTGCAAGGTTATACAAACTAAGGAATATAAATTTACATAATAGAAAGGTAGAGTTGATGACGTTCTGATCTTCTCTACTCTTTGTATTGGGTTAAAATTGATACAAACCCCTTAAATAAAAACAAAACATCTCTTCTTGCAAACATAACATTTGCTAAAACGCATGTTCAATATCTGCTGGTCAAGTGCTCTAAAAAGTTACTCGCGTGGTGCAGTGGTTAGAGCATCTTCTCTAGAGTTGATTAATAAAGAGTTTATTCTTACGTCACGGGATCAAATTCCACTGTGGTACGTGGAGACCGGTCCTTCTGAATAGACCGCATAAACCGAGGTCCCGTGTCACAGTAGGTGCTGTAACGAAAAAGATCCCTCCCTGCTCAATGGTCCTAAGTGCCAAGTATAGAATAAAATTGTCAGCTCTACACTGTCAAATAGTGTGTGAAAATTCTCAAGAGTGACATAAAACAACACACACAAAAGGAAACAAAGATAAAAATAAATAATTTTTAAGATTTCATCTGGTTTGCAGACTTTTTCAAATATCTCAACTCTTGTCGGGTTTATGAGTAAAACTTTTCATAATCCATTTGGATAACCTTGCAATATATTAAACTATTAGGGCCCTTCCAATGATTTGTACGGCGACGGCAGCATCACTTGGACCTAGGAATGTTCGGAAAATACATGCATCGAATCGTAAAACATTATGATTATAGGTGGTCTCTGATTAGTGATATATTTTCATGTAATAATATACTGAGCAAAATAAGTTTAGCAATTGCTTTTCCGTATGCATGATCTAAAAATATTTTTCTTAATTGTTTTATTTTGCTTCTTCTTAAAAACAATAGAGATAAAGATAACAAAAGACAGAGTTTTTTTTTTAATTTGACATGCAGAAACCGCTTCATCCAACGTTGTGACAATTCAATAAAACAAAAGGTTACGCTCGAACACACATGGCCCCGGAACAATTTTTTATTAGAAAAACATTCTGAACATGCTTGTAAAGAAAACCGGTGAAAAACTGCAAAAACGTCTAATGGCAAAAACACCAGGACTTTCCGAAAATGAACGTTAAAGGACTATAGGGATGCTAACAATTGGTTGCTCATAAGAAGATGTCGCTGAACACTTTTGCTTGCATCAGTCCACCCAACTGATTCCGAACGACTGAACACGTAATCAATCGCCAGCGCTTAGAACGTCCACTAAAAACGACGGTTAGCAATGATCGTTTAATTGTTACAACGTCGAGACGTTACAGATTTATGGCTGCTCCTTAAGTTGCAGAAGAGCTATGCCGTTTTACTGGAGTGAGGTTATGCAGACAATTTGTAGGAAACAGGCTACTTTAAGCCATTTTTCGAGTTCAAAGACCTCTCAAAGCAATATCACTTACTCAACGTCATCAACAATCACGCACCGCAAGGGCAAACACAAATCGTCTTGGATTCAAGAAAAATATTGCCTTTTCTTTGTTTTACGAAGAAAATTTAACATTTCAAATGCATTATAAATTATTGGTCTACTTTTCCAACTTGATATATTAATTACCTTTAATTGCAAAACTTATTTTGCTCAGTATAAAAAAAGGAAAAAACTAAATACCCCAGTTTAGCGTAATTTTTCTAATTCTTTATCTAATAATAGTCTCGAAGATCTCAACAAGACCGACAACTTTAGCAACAACTTTCCGATTGTCAAAGATAATAACGACAGCGGCGGCAATTAAAACGTCAAGGACAACATCAACGAAAAATTCATATCCTCAAAAATCCAAAACTAGAATAAAAACAACTCTAAAAATATTTTCAACCCCTTCAACAAAAGAAATTACAACAAGAAAACAAACAAAACCAACTTTTCCAGAATCGACAGCTACTCATCTAACAACATCAAAAGAGATTACGAGTGAAGTTTTGAGTTCTTCACCAAGAAAAACGATAAAAACAACTTTTCTACATTCTACAGCTATTCAACCAGCAACATCAACAGAGATTGCGACTGAAGTTTTGAGTTCTTCACCAGGAAAAACGATAAAAACAACTTTTCTAGATTCTACAGCTAGTCAACCAGCAACATCAACAGAGATTACGACTGAAGTTTTGAGTTCTGAACCAGTAACATGGGACAGATCAATGTCACCACTGCCTTCAACAAGAGGGATTATGGGAGCATCTACTGGTAAGAAAGAGACAAAACGTGCATAAAAGAAAACAAAAAAAAGTAATTTCATAATCCTAATATATCTTTTTACAATAAATTATCTAAACTGACAAAATGTAGAGACGGAGAATGAAATGATCATGAACATTTTTGGTACATATTTAAGAAGTATGTTAAATACATTGCTACATATTTCTAAAATCGATATTTCGTTTATGTTTAACAAGAAAACAGAATCATTAAAGTTATACGTTTATTTAAGGTTATTTAAATTAATTTACATTATTGCATGATAGAATAAGATCTAAACATTTTAATTGTCTTCTTAAGAACAGATTTATGAACTCCTTAATTCAGACTGATTAATCCGTAGTCAAAAGTGTTAAAATCAATGAAATAGTAATTAAATGGCTTGTAAAATGTCAGTCAAACATTACCCAAAGATATATTTACTGACAACATCATAACAGCTACCTTAGAATATGCATAAAACCAACTTTAAACGGGTTGTTGAAAGTCGTTTAACATCATTAACTTGTCAGTAGCTTTGTTGGTTTACAAATTGGTTATCACGAACGTTTATATTCAGTAACAAATCTATGTATGAAGAAGAGGTGTCAGATTCTGTAGTGTCTTTTATCAATAGTTCTCTCGGAATTGCTTTCAGACTCGCAACAAAAGATACTGAACTCGACAAGCACAACACTGAATGCTGTGACATCAACGGAAACCACATCGTTTGTTCTCAGTCGAGAAATAGGTTTGAAAGTTAAAATTCTTTACTGTTTATAGAAAGATTAAAAGAACCTACCCTAACACCATTTCTGCTGCTTTATGTTTCATTGATAAAAAAGATTGTTTTTTTTGTTTTATGTCAATAGATTAAACAAGATTCTTAGTAATAGTCCTAATCACATAAAGGAAATACCTATTACTTATTAATTATTAGATGTATTTCCAGTTATTTGGATACGTTTGTTTGTCATTGCTGTAAAATGTTTCAGTCAATCTTTGTTATAATTGTTAATTTTCTTACATTAATTGTGTCTTCAGTAGTTCTGATGGTGGGTATTGTGATGGTAGAAGTTACGATAATAATTGTGGGTATCCTAGCAGTCAAGCGATTTAGACAGAAAAAGTAAGAAACACATCATAATCAATAATATTTCCTTCGTATTTTAGAAATTGTGTTGTCAGTGTAAGAATGAAAAAAATATATAGGGTTCAACAATAAAATACTGAAGAATGTTTTATTTCTACTAGAAATGCTATAATTATTTTCTTCAGAAACAACACGACAAGACGCAGTAAAGAAAATGTCGTTCGACCTGTCTCTAGAAAGACAGTCTGCAGCATTGATAACGTATATTCCACAATTCCAGAGGAAGAATTCGATGAGAACCCATATAAAGAGCTCTCTGAAGGGGTGTATGATACAACCTCAAAACGAAGATCTCATGTCAATGGTAACTGGAACGAATATTCCAGGGGAAGTTTTTATTCTCGTCTGTTTCGAAGTTCAAAAGTAAGCGGAGGCAGGCCAGTAGAAGAAACACACCCAATGTTTTCAACATTCAGAGATTCGAAAAAGGAAACAAAGTAATTAGGTTCAACTTGCACGACCGTTAAGGTGAACAAAGTAAAAATTTATAGACGAAAAAAATGTACATGTATTAAAAAAAAACAAGTTCGGGTTCAAAGAAGTACATTGCCCTGTGAGTTCTAATATATATGAGGATGATGTAAGAAATCTGACTTTTTGAACTGTTAAAATTACATGCAATAGGAATATACAAATCGTATTTCTCAGATGACCTACTAAGTGCTTATAGTGACGTCATGAACATGTGTATTTTCCCATATTGTCTTATTTAAACCTTTTCCGAGGATACAATCTTAGTGCATTCTCTTTTAAATGATGTGGAGAACATGCATCACCAAAACCTTTTTGAGATATGTGATTTTCAAAGGATTATACACTGTATATCATAAAAAATGTAGTGAGAAACAGCTTTGGGCAATTGCACTTTTTAAGGTCAGACGAGACGTTCCTCAAAATTTGTTTTGTATATCTTCGTAATGTATGAAAAATATTCAAAATTTTAATTACATTCTGATTTCTTCACCAGTTTCTAAACGTTTTTAAAAAATCCAAACGCTTAAACATTTGAAATTGGAAAATTATTTTTCTTCCCCAAAAGATTATATAAGAAAAACTACCCCTGCTATTTTGCAGAAATGCCTGGTAAGGTACCTCAATTTTTTGTGTGTAAACATGTTTAAGTAGCAATACTTCAATGACAAACTCTTAGAAAATTTTATCTATTATTAAGGAACATCTCGTTCGTCCTTAAAGGGAAATAAACACAGAAATGAGTCGTGTAAAATTTTCTCGTGAAAATTTTTAAATACATGTATGTTTCATAATTTATCTCATTTACATTCTCAACTCAAATTCAAGGCACAGATTATTCAAATTATTTTAATTGTTTTGTTTTTCATATGCAAATTGATTTAAAACCAACTTTTTCATGTTATGATTTTAAAAAATATAAATGTTTTCAAGGAATCAAATTTAAATGAAAACTGTGTATATTATGAAATTTAATTGTAACATGTATCTTTTTAATCTCTGTTAACCACAATCAATCGCCGATGAATCAATTGTAGATTTCTACAGATTGTAAAACTAATAAGGTAAATATATTTGAAATATAAATAAGCGTATGATTATCATATCTGAATATAGATTTATTCTTTTAACCTTGTTTTTTATTCTTGTACATATAATCAACTACCTACATATGCTGAATCATGCACATCAATGTACATGTATAATAAATTATTGTCAGGATTATTGCTAGATTATGCTATTATTTAGAAGGGTGTTTTGAAGCGAAGAAATATTTCAAGATAATTGGAACATTAATTAATAAAATAATTGCACATATAAATGTATATTATTTGAGTATATTGTCATACTAAGGTAAATCATAACCAAGCAATATTTTATTGCTTATTGTAGTCAAGCAAGTATTACAAAATTTCCAAAATTTTCAATATTCCATCCATATGTTTAACTAATGTATATATTATTTATTGTTTGTCAGTATGTAGAAGGAAGAATTTTAAAAAAATTAGTTCAACAGGCTCAAAATTCATAGAAATTGAAAATGCTCGTAAAATTGATTTCACAAAATACTTTAAATTTAAACATGAATAAACAATATTATTTCTTTTAGGTTCCTCATTATAATGAATCATATTATATCGGGAAATATCTTATCCGAAATATATTATCAGGAAACATGAATAAATGTTTTATATCCATGATCTCTCTCAACAACATTGTATTTTTTAAATGAAACATATAGAGATAAAGAACAGTATTCAAGATCTAAGGTCTATAAAACAATAGAAAATGGGAGCAAAACAAACACGGACCCACGGAACATCAAAGGTGTGTTCAGGTGCTGTAGTGGAATGAGCATCCCCTGCTGACGGGTCACATCCACTGTGTACTCCTTTACAAATGATAATGATAATGATTCAAGATAATAAATTTATAAATGTAATCCAATGAATAGATCTACTCGAAGCAGATAAATATGTCACTTTATCTAAATAAAAAAATGTTTTAAATTTGGTTTAGTTCTTGACGCCCGTAAAACGTGTTTGTTACAGGAGTTTTTCAAAATGAACGAGAAGAGGCGAACATTTGGTAGGATTTTAATATCTAAGTTCCAATACTGTTTTCGTTTTTTTTATTTTCATAAATTCCACATTTAAAATAAAACGGCCTCATGGCGTATTACAGATATCCCTTGCCTTTTGATGTAAAATTTATTTAAATCATTGTAATATATAAAGAATTAGATAGCGTAAATATAATTAGAATTATCATTTGATTCAAAGGATCAGGTGAGTTTTTCTACAATGAATTATTTGAATTTAACAATCATTTTGGTAATTTTAAAACAAAATTAAAAGAAAATGATTCCTTTTCAATAGTGTCGAAATTTTGTATTGCGTATAATTTTGAAAAATATACTGCAAATATTTTTGAATTTTTATTTAGACCATTTGATAGCAAAATTCGGTCTGGTTTGTTACCGTTTATTCTTTTATGAATAATGATGAAAAGAATAGGCGAGTACTAGTACATGTATATACATGTCTGAGGAATGATCTTCCTTATATGGCTTTTGTTATCATTTGCTTGCAGAAAACAATTGTCCAATCCGATGACTGAATGACAAAGCAATCTGATTTACTAGATGTTTATGTTATCACAGACACGTGGTTCAGGTCAATATAAATAATAGCCATAATATAGATATTTTCCCAGTACATTTCAAACTTTAAACAGCCTTTATATGCATGACAATGCCCATGGAACCTTAACCCATCGGTTTGATTCAAGCAATGCACATGAAATTTGTATTTACTGATTTGCGGCAATACATGTGGGCATTTGACACCAGAGAGTGGGGGGCGGAGCTAAAATTCAGTGATAATTGGATGTAAGCATAATACCCCTACTCAATTAAAGAATCTATGTCTTCCAAAGTGCTTTTCTATTATTGTTTTCTTTCACAAGGATTTACAAAAACTATACATATCAGTGATTACATGTAGGTACATGCAAAAACTAGAGTAGCGTTTGTATATTTAATTTGTTCTCAATTTACCGGGTACCGTATGTCACATCATCCTTATAATACGTATTAAGAAATAATTGCATTTATTTCAAAACCCATCAAAAGTGCAAGAGTCGTGTAAATTGAGAGAAATCTTTTTTTAATAACCTCTTAGATTAGAGGTTACATGTATGGAACATTTCAATAATAAGGAAATTAACGCATTCGCGTGTTAGGTGTAGCATCTGCTTACTTTCCTTACTGACTGTTAGGAAAAATATACCATGTACACATAGTGTTATTGCAGCCCAGAGGACCGGGCTGTTCTATACATATAAGTTTTTGGTAGTCCGATCCTTAGATTAAAATATTAGAAGTTAAGTAACCAAAAATACTCATAAAAGTATCTCTGAGCACACAAAGTTCTGAAAATTTATCCACAGTATTTCTTGAAAGTTAAAGATTAAAGTTAATAATATTATATAGGGAAAATTTTCAAATCTCCAATATTTTTTGCAGAAAAAGCGAATTGGAATATCAGCAATGCATTTTCAAATTGCAAATTTATCAATAAATATATTTAAGGCTAAAAAACGATAGGCATCCGGGCATTTGGAGAAATTGTCATGACTTGTATACTTATTTGGTATATTTTGTCTTCTATTTCCGTAATGTATTTTATATTACAAAGTGTAAAAGACTTTTGCTATTTTTGCGAGACACCACAAATCATTTCTTATTTCATATAATTCTAATAAGCATTGGTATCTAAGGATTGATTCAAGAAAATCTTATTTTCCTGAAACTTTATTATTAAATTTTCTCCTTTTCTAGTGTACAAATGTCTTTTAAAAGACCTTTTTCTAAGACTTCCAAAGACCTTAAATTTTATAAAGATGAATAAAATGAAAATTGTTGCATGAAAAATTTCATTTTCAAGCTGCATTTTGATTCTTTTCAAATCAAATATTTATTTTTAGAGTTATCCTTCCTGGCTGATGATCGGATATCCTTAAGTGGTGGTGTATGGGGATTGAGTTGGGAGAGGTTATACAGAATTAACGGTTTTCTAAACATTAAAAAGATTGTCAATAAGAGTGTTTTTTCGCTTTATAAATTACGAGATACACAATATATTTACTTCCATAAAGTGAATCCGTAAAAATATGTAATGTTTTTCATTCTTAATAAAAAAAGTTGCCTGTCATTTACTATCGTAAAACGACAGGTCCCTTTATCAAAACATAGAATTTTACTTATCGCATAAAAACGTATTTTACAAAGTTCGTGTTCTTCATGTATATTCTTAAAGTGAAATACATGATGCTTGTGTCTAGTTTCAATTTATATTTCATGCAGCCAACATTTATTTGAGGAATTGATAAAGTTTAAAAGGGTAACTTTTTTTATCGATTTTTTTCCGAATATAAGTTTACAAAATATTCTCGACTATCGTCTCCATTATTTAGACGCATGTCATTTTCATACATATCAAAGCAGTTTGATGATCATGACTCATTTCAATTCTTTACTTTTTGAATTTCCTGGGCGACAATTGATGATTACATCAATGATTTCTTGTACGGTAAAATATAAATGCCCCAAGTGTAAGTACACGTCCAAGAGCATACGTCAAATTCATAGAAAAAATATTTGGTTTAATTTGAATTTTGTAGCTGTTATTAATACATAACTTCATGTAGAATCATAATTGATAAAGTAGTTATAAAAATAAAGGATTTCAGAAGTTCTCAACTTATATAGTTAAACAAAATGCAGCAAATACTAAAATAGCTATTGAAATTGTATGGTCTTGTCTTCAGACTTCTATTTGTATGTTTCTTTATATGTATATAATAAGTCTGGTTGTAATATACCATTTTAGTGTATAGAAAACTAAGTTACATTGTATGCGTTGCCTACATTATAATGACTAAGGTAAAAAAAAATACGTATCAATCCGCTTGATTTTAAGTTTGAAAATAGGATTTTTTTTAAAAATGCATTTATGAAGGACATGTTGTCTTATTTTTATACATTCATAGATGAAAAATTAGAGTTTTAGGAATGAATTGATAGTTTCACAAGTATTATTGAAGTAAGCTGGTATAACCTCTTTTGAGACAGTTACGTTTTTTTAAAATTAGATTGAAATATAGTGTTGTTTTGTTTACAAAAAGATAAATTCTTTTGACTGACTTTTTTATCTACAGTTTCAGTTCGATATGTTATTAAAGTTTTCATAACAATTTGACTATGATAAGTTCGTTAGATAAGCTACTAGTTTCAATGACCGATATGCAATACACTAAACAGACAATGTCTCTTATTTCTTAAACAATAAAATGTCTTTCTTATGTTGTTAGTACGGGAATGAATATAGCGGCTATTGCAGAAAAAATACATAACCCTCGTAAGCGGATTATGTAAATTCTTTCTGCAATAGCTGCGTCATTTATTCCTTACGAACAACCAAAGAAAGACATTTTATTGTTTATATTTATATCTGTTTAAATAATCATTTAAAGTTGGATTTAAAAAAATTAATTATTGTAGTAATGAGGTGATCGATCGTCTTTGTATGTTTCATTGATGGAACAGCTACAGATCAAGAAATCTGTACATGAGACATGTCTACTGTAGTTCATGCACTGATAAACGCAATGGGTTTTCTTAAGAAATAAAGGAAGAAAAATATTCAGTGGATGTAAATATTATTGAATAAGAAGCATTCAAACACTGTTATTCAACATCATTATCTCTTTCAAATTTCGACGATTAATTTATCAGCGATTGATCAAAATCAATAAATAGTAAAAATCTTAAATTGTTTACATGCTCTTCAGATTTTCCCTTCATGCCTTTAAAACTGCGGCAAAATATGCTGTAATAAGACGCACAATACGAGTAAAAAAAATTGCTTGAAAACATCATGATACATGTTTAAAACTTAACTTGAGGAAGCAATGGTATAAACAGTATTGTTTCAAGCCATCCTTTCGAAAGGTCAAGGCATTCTCAGCAACATATAAAACATATAATGAAATCTAATGCTGATTGACGTTTGACATTCGAATTGTTATTAGGCCTTAATTTATACACAGAATTGTCTAGGAATTTTTCCCAAATCATTACAAGAGCACAGGGCTGGTGAGACCGGTCGGCTGCCCACTCCTTTACATAAAATTGTGTAGGGATAAAGTACTATATTCAGGGTTTTTTTTAAACGAATTTGTTTGAAAACAGTTTGTTGTAAACATAACGCACTAATAATTATTGCACAAAGAGAAAACATATACTTTTATATTTTTAAGTATTTACGATACAAATAACATGCAGGTGGACAAAATATACTGTTTTATGTTGTTTAAATTCATTGTATTTCTTGGTATATATTTTGGCATGAATTAAAAGGAAAACATAATTTTTTTCCTTTCTTTTCTCACAACGCCTACATGCAACAGTCTGGGACAAACTTAGATCAATAGTTTCATTTTGTTAACACGCAATATCATATTTAAGTTCTCTTATTACATACTTTAGCTTTTTATAATGTATGATATAATGTATGATATATAAACATGAAATATAAAAACAATGCTCTCTCTCTCTAATTTGTCTTGAATGAACCAAACATAGGTAAAAATGATCAAGTATTTTACAACTTTTATAATAATTATAGATATACAGTATATATTTCTTAATCCTTGTTTATTGTTTTAGCAGTTTAGAAGACACAAGAAAAAAACATCAAAATGAAGGTTTTCACCCTAGTTGTCTTTTTGCTGATTTATGAAGTGATTGGATTTCAGCCACACAATTCAGTGAAATGTAATTTATAGACCAACATGTTATTTTTTGTCACAAAAAAATTATAGATGTGTTTTACGCCGAATTCAATTCATATTACCACTGCACAGATGTTTAAAATTCTTTAACCACTGCAATGATTTTTCATTTCTTCTTTATGAGAAAGATATCCACGCATATATGATTAATTAATCAGAGAGAAATAAGTAAAAATTATATTGTTTCAGATCAAATATCTAATTACCTGAAAACTGCTCCATGGGAACACGTCAAAACATTTGCCAAGATTAAGACTCCGCTATCCTTGGATATCACATCGAATTACAGGCTTCCTGCAGGAACCATTTTGACTGGCTTAAAAGTCGGTATGTTTAAAATCGTTCATTATTATTATTGACAAAGTTGAACATTTGAGAACTTTTAATGGTACATATCGACTTCACACTTTCATGAACTGACAGGCTATGGATATTTGTCATCAAAATTTTGAAATTTGCTTGCCTTTTTTAATATATTCTTGAGCCTTGTTTGGCACGGAGTGAATATTTGCGAAGAAAGAAAATGAACAAATTTTAAATCTAGCTTGTATAAAAATTTAATCAGGTCATTGCTTACAGATAAACTTAATTAACAAACAACATAATACACATAACAGTGTCCGTCTCGTCTGTGTTCAGAGTGTGAATTCTGTAATTTCTACTTTATTTTAATTTTATTTCTCGTTATACTTCGGATAATTATGTTCCCCAAACGAAGTTGGGGAACATATTGTTTTTACTCTGTTTCTTATTATTAAGGTCTTCCGTCTTCAGCGGAAGACCTTCTTGCTATTCTTAGGTTTCTTTTCCACTATTTTTATTATTATTATTGTTTTTTTTTCTTACCGATTTTGTGCACGCGATTTCTCGGAAACGGCTCGATCGATTTTCATGACACTTACAGGACTGATAGAACATCAAGCAAACCTGATATATAATTTTTTGTTTTGATGACGTCACTTCCGGTTTTGAGATTTTCGCGATTCAGTGATTTTCAGAGGGTCACTTTGTCCACGAAATTTCTCAAAAACGGCTTATGATAGAAACTTGAGTTTTTCAGCAATGATAGAGCAATATATGTAGATGTGACATATGCATTTCATTTTGACCGGAAGTGCTGCACGCCGACGCTCGCTATGGTCCGAAAAATGGCATGTCGAGAATTTTAAAATTTCTAACCCTTTTTTTTCGATATCTTTTCACATACAAATATTTTGTTAAGACATATATAACAAAAGAAGTGTAGAATTACTTGATCTTTCAAACATTATCTCGAAAAAAGGGCTGGCCCCTATAATAAAGGGCTGAGAGGGGCCAAACGTTTTTCCTTTATATCTCAAAAAGTATTTAGAATTTGTAATACGTCAAAGAAGCAAAGTTGTTCAAAATGCTAAGCTGAATCTATCTAGGTCATCAAAATACATCCGGTGACGTCACTTCCGGTCAAACCGGAAGTAGTATGGAAATTCATATTTTTGCCGTTCTTGACATATTTTTGGGTAACACATGTCACTGGAAGCATAAAAAACTTAATTTTCCGTCCGTCTTCACCACTTCCGGTCAAACCGGAAGTAGCCCAAAATAGCTTATTTTTTAAGGTTTTGATTGAAAATGAAATTATAAAGTCAATGGATTTAGCTTAGCTCGTTGTTTTCTTTTGTTGACGTCACTTCCGGTCAAAACAGGACGGAAGACCTACTCGTTGCTTTGCAACGAGCTTTGCTCTAGTTATTATTATTATTATTAAGGTCTTCCGTCTTCACGGAAGACCTTATAGTGATTCTATTGTTTCTTATTAAGGTCTTCCGTCTTCACGGAAGACCTTATAGTGATTCTACTGTTTCTTATTATTATTATTATTATTATTATTCTTATTTTTTAGACAAATTTTGTGCACGCGATATCTCGAGAACTATTCATCGGTTTTTCATCAAATTTTCAGGGATGATGCGCTCTTATATGCCATTGTTACATTTGGAAGAATTTTGGAACAAGTCGCTTCCGGTGCCAAGTTATGGCCATTTTCCTGATTTTAAAATGAAATTTTGTCAGTTCGAGATCTAAGGAACTACTAAAGATATGAACTGGAGACTTGTTGGAGAACATAGGACATGACTTCTAGATATGCGGAATGTCCTTTTCGTGTGTCGTCGGTACTTCCGGTTGCTACCGGAAGCGAATTAAAAAAATCAAAATTTTCAGCTTTTTTGTTTTTCATTATTTTTCTTTGATTTTTACAGTGATAATAGAGACATTTTATAGGATGCGAAATATGTAATTTGATTTTGAATTGATAAAGCCAATCTCGAGATATTCGCATTTAAAAATTTGAAGCGGCGTTCCCGATGGCGTAATGGTTAGCGCGTTGGATTTTCACGCGGGCGACCCGGGTTCGATCCCCTGTGTGTCCGAAATTTTTTATGACTTTTTCAGCTAGATTTTTCGCTTTTTATTTCAGAATCGGACGGAAGACCTCTCGTTGCTTGCAACGAGATCGTTTCTAGTTATTATTATTATTATTCTTTTTTTTTTAGACAAAATTTTGTGCAGGCGATTTCTCGTAAACTATTCGGTGGAATTCAATGAAAATTTCAGGAATAATAGGTCACTATATGAATTTTATATAAAATTCCGTTTGTTGGAAAATTCGCTACCAGTGCCAAGTTATGGGCAATTTCCTGATTTTAAAATGCAATTTTGTCTTCGAATGTTCTCGAAAACGGCTCAAGATATTAACTGGAGACTTATTAGAGATGATAGACCATGACTTATAGATGTGCAATTTTGCCTTCGTTTGCGTCGTCAGTACTTCCGGTCGCTACAGGAAGTGAATTAAAAATGTGCACTTTTTCAACTTTTTTTGTTTTTCAATATTTTTCTTTGATATAATTAATGTTAATGGAGACCCTACTGGAAAGGCCTAATATATAATTTATTTAAGAATTAATCAATCCACACACTAGATATTTGCATTTAAAAATCTGAAGCGTGTCCAAGATGGCGGGGCGTCTCCGTGAACTCCGCCATTAAGCAAGTCTGGTTCTAGAGGGTCAGCTGAGTGTTTAGATGAATGAAACTTCTACCAAAAAGATTTATGAAATGTAAAGGATTCTTTAGATTGCTACATCGCAATTACGTTGCATTGAGTATTGTTTTAATATGAGTTTTCCTCAAACGTCTATTGAAATTGCTTTTGTCTGCATCTCAAAGTAGAATACAACATGACTACAAGTGGAAATACGATGACAACAATCTTTTGTTTTGCACCAGGGAAAACTTATCCTAAACCATGGTTATAAGTAATAGCTTTTCAAGAAACTTGCCTGACTTAATATTCACTATGTTTCTGAAGTATTACTTGACTTCTGTTTATTTTTCCAGGCTTGTGACATATTAAATGAATAGAAAAGACAAAAGTAAGAAAAACAATTTTTTTAAAAGATTGTTTATTAAAGGTTATATAAATATTCTTGTAATAAATGCAAGTTATTGAACATAAAAAGTATCACATTCCTTGACCGTCGGAGGGCGAGTGATTTTTTTTCCTGTCATTCCAGTCTTTTCATGAACGTGTAACTCATCTCCACTTTGGGGAAAAAACAGGATACAAAATTCGTGGAAAACACTTTAGTGTTACTTGGCTGTATACGATATTATATATATATATATATATATATATATATATATATATATATAACGCTCGAAATTCAGGTTATAAGAACATACATTTCTAATTTTCATTGAAGCTATCAAATCCATCAAATAGATCAAATATTTCAAAGGAATAGCGTTAAGAACTTCTTGTGACGTTTGGCACGAAATAATGTATCCTGACCCGACTTAAGTAGTAGACAAATGGTGACAATAATGCAGAAATATATAACATTGGCATGCCTGTTTATGGAGTTGCATGGAATAAAAAGTTGAATACATATCGAAAAAAGGAAAGAAAACAGTATCATCTGTTCATCACTAATAGATTATCTACCTAAAAGTTACTGTTAAAACTCAAGTAACAGATTCCGATGTGATCATCTTGAGCAAAGTTTAGCAAGCTGGCTGTCATTTTATAATTCCAAACTGAATTTTTAAAAAAATGTAATGTATGTTGGAATCAAAATAAGCAATCTCGCGATATTCGAATGTTAAATTTGAAGCGGGTTCCCAAAGATGTAATGGGTACCGCAATGGATTTTCACGTTGGCGACCCGGGTTCGATCCCCCGTGTGTCCGATTTTTAAAATCACTTTTTCAGTTTGATTTTACGTTTTTTTTCTGAATCGGACGGAAGACCCCTCGTTGCTCGCAACGAGTTTCGTTTCTAGTTATTATTATTTTTCTTCTTCCTGGGAAAATTTTGTCCACGAGTGATCTTGTAAACAACACATCTGACTTAGGTGAAACCTTTTTAGGGTCAGTAGGCATGTTATGTAGAGTTGCCAAACGAAGGTCATTTTGCGCGCACGTGCTTGCAAGAGCGCGCACGTGCAACACGTGAAATGACCAATATAATGGATATTGCCGTAACTTTTCCATTTTTTGATGAAAATTCTTAAAACTCATTGTGCAAGAATATATTAGTAGTATAGACAAGATGACATGGTCAAAATAGCAAGATCTCACGCGCATGCACGTGCGCTTCGCTCTGATTGGCTGAAACTAAAGTCTCAATATCTTTCTTGTTTTAAGTCATAATCCTTTGAAATTTTGAACTTAGTCACACATTATAAAGGTCTACAGCCTGATATATAAGAATTTTCATGAAAGCACGTACATGCACATGTGCTGGAAAGAGCGCGCACGTGCAACATGTGAAATAACCAATATTATTGATGATGCCATAACATTTCTATTTCTTGATGAATTTTTTTGAAACTCATAATGTAAGGATACATTAGTAGTATAGACAAGATGACATGGTCAAAATAGCAAGATCTCACGCACATGCACGTGCGCTTCGCTCTGATTGGCTGAAACTAAAGTCTCAATATCTTTCTTGTTTTTTGTCATAATCCTTTGAAATTTTGAACATAGTCCTACATTATGAAGATCTACAGCCTGATAAATAAAAATTTTCATGAAAGCATGCGCATGCGCGCGTGCTGCAATGTGATTGGCTGAAACTTTTAATGGCTATATCTCCCTTGTTTTTTGACGAAATTCTTTGAAATTTAAAATATAGTCATGCATTAGGATATCCTACAATATGATATAGAAAAAATTCATGAAATCACGCGCATGCACGTGTGCTGCAATCTGATTGGCTGAAACTTGAAATGGCTATAACTCCCTTGTTTTTCAACCAAACAGGATGAGATTTAGAACATAGATAGATATAAGGGACTCCTAAAAGAAGGTATGGCCATCATGCACGTGCACGCACGTGCATGCATTTGGAACTAAAAATACACTTGAATGAGTAATTTTTAATACTTTTGGACTGAATGCTTTAATATATAGTATATTAAAATATATAGATAGTGTAGACAAGATGAAATGGTCATAACGCACATGCATTCACATGCGCACGGGTGCAATGCTACAGTTTGAATATAATTGGTATCCTTCTCGGTAAACGTTGTTAAAGTCAAAAATGCACAGAGTTTGTCTTATTTAATGAAACTTACAGGGAATATGGCACCAAAATGAAGTTGGGGAGCGTTTGGGAACATCTGTAACGGTTCCCGTTACAATTAGCACTAGTTGTATATATGGTTTAGATTTCAAAATGATTTTAATAAAGAAAAGAACTCTGAATTGTAAATACCTGAACATTGAATTTTTTTCGCCATGGCTAGATCCTTTTATACGACATTCAAAAAAAAATAATTTAGCGCTTGCATATTTATATTCTGAAAGAAAAAAAGAAACGCAGTGTGACACAATATTTGAATTTTTTTTTTTGACCGCATGACCAAAAATTAAGAAAATTGGTCATATGAGAATGTTAGTTACTATGCACCAAAATAAGTGTTCAGAATTACTCAACCATATAATGTATGACGTCACGTAGGAAAAGCACTAAAAAGCGAAAAGCACAAAACACGTGCAAATTGATGACGACGGTTTTGTCAACGAATTTTGTTGTACCATTTGATGCACCTGACGTATACACATTGTTTTTCATATGAATTTCTTTGATCTTGGTACAGTTTACGGAAGTTCCATGGAGTCTAGTTTTCGAATTGCCTAACTTAGGACAAAGGCACCAACGGGTTACTCCAGTTGTCAAGAAGACCTGGTTTTGTTTCCAATCAACCGTGACGATGACTTTAACGCGAAACTAAGTCACGTTACTATCGGGTTATTCGTCCCTGCCTTCTGTTTAATTGCCACCTTATCACCACAAAAACCGCATAATCATTACATTCACCCCAAAACTGAAAGAAATAACTTGCACAATTTGGGTTTTTGAACAATTTAGGTCTTCATCTCACTGGTGCATGCGCTCTTCGTTTGACTAATTTTTTGGCGTGGTTATCCATGCCCATTATGCTCAGGGTTTGAAAGATAAACATTTTGATGAATTCCATGCAAAGGATAATCAAGGTTGTGTCAGATGCGCTGGGGAGACATTTAAGATAATGGCAGTTTTCGATTTTCACTTTTGGGGGGTATGGTCATATGAGTTTCAAAAACTCATGAATTAACAGACAGATAAAAGTTAGATAGGGATACTAAAAAAAATATACAAGAAAATTTAATTCACCTCAAAAGTTTGCTCTGAGTTTCTTTTTCCTTTCAGTATAACCCCCTTGGGGATCCGGGTTAGAATAGGTCCTCAGTACCCCCTTGCTTGTCGTAAAAGGCGACTAAATGGGGCGTTCCTTCGGATGAGACCGTATAAACCGAGGCCCCGTGTCACAGCAGGTGTGGCACGATAAAGACCCCTCCCTGATCAATGGCCCTGAGTGCCGCGCAAAGGCCTAAATTTGCAGCCCTTCACCGGCAATGGTGACGTCTCCATATCAGTGAAATATTCTGGAGAGGGACGTTAAACAATATACAATCAGTCATACAATCAACCTTTCAGTATATAACAACATTAATTCAAATTTATATCGATATAAGGACAAGTATTATTCAATCAATAGTTCAATGGGATATTTTTCTTGTAATTATTACCGTAATATTTTCACTCTGAAGTCATATATTACATCATATCTTTGATAAACAAACTTTCTGACTTTTTGTGGCTACAGTAACCGGGGAAAACTGTGCTGATATTTTGAGAAGAGACCCTTCTACCAGGAAAAAGGATGGTATTTATAAAATCATCCTTGACAGGAAAAAGATAGTTAAGGTGTATTGTGACATGACGACTGATAGAGGAGGTTGGACGGTAATTATGCTTAAAATCACATGGTCTGTAATAATGCCTATATTTCGTTTGATAATTTAGGGAATAACTATCTTCTAATTTGGCATTTGCGACCGTTAATTATGATTTAAAGGTCGCCAACTGAGTATAACCGGTGACGCATAATCGTAAGCAAATACCAAAATAGAAGATGGTTATTCCAATTCTAATGCTATCCATGCATTTTGTTTGTTGTTTACGTCTTATTTTGTTGATTTCGTTTACATGAAATACGTCATGGGGCATTGTGTTTTTGCGTCGCTCTATTATGACGTCACAATGAAAAGCTTTCTGCCTCGTTAATGCTCGTTTAACTGCTTCAAACATCAGTGCATTAGCCAATCAAAAGGTGTTTTACAAAATAATTGCATAAGAATAAGGAATTCAAAACATCATGTCTGAATAGAACAAGAAAAAATTTGGTTCAACATTTTAGCGGATATTTAAGTGTTTTACATGTTTCTTACAAAAGCAAATCTTCCAGGGAGTTTTGATTAGTTATTTAAAAAACCTACTGGTTTCTATTATTTTTTATTGTGAAAAATACTAAATCTGTGTTATCAAAATGCATTAATAACAAAAATAATTTACAGGTCATTCAAAACAGGTTCGATGGTACAACCAATTTTTATCGCGACTGGAATGACTATAAAACAGGTTTTGGGAACATTTCTCGGGAATTTTGGCTTGGTATGTGAAATAAACCTACATGCATGGCTTTAATGAATGAGTGAGACAATTTTCTTTCACTTCATCAGTATTATAAGAAACCGAATAAGTACATTGATATTTGAATTTGTTCTGCATCTTATTATGCACAGGGAATGACATAATCCATGCTCTTACTAAAAACGATGATCAAGAATTGCGCGTAGAAATGACGAAGTTTTCTGGATCAAAAGTTTACGCAAAATACTCAAAATTTTCTATTGGTGATGAATCCAAAAAGTATAAACTGTCGATCAGTGGATACAGTGGGTCGGCTGGTAAGAAAACTTAACTTTGATTCTGTAAAATCACATATTTTTGTTGGGTCATTTTTTGTGTTTCTAGGGAAAATATGGATTCCTGGGAATTTTAGTTTGTGGATAAAGAATCACTACTTAGTAGTTAATGTTCAAAATTATATGTATGAACTATTAAAAATTATTCCTTTAACATTTCAGAAAAAAAGGTTTTAAAGAGTATTTTTTCTTTAAGTTTTCGATTCCTCAGTTTTTTTTACATTGATTAACAATGCCTTCTACAGATAGAAAAAAAATTAAATCATCTATACCGTGGAATTTATGTAAGATATAGAGAATAAGGACTACTTGAAATTGACAGAAAATCTGTTTTGCTCTGGAAGAGAGATGATTTATCTTCTTTTAACTTGAGCTGTTACATTAAAATCATTATAGACATAGAATCGTGTTAATAAAACTACTGAAATGCTTTGTGAAAGAATATTAAAGTTGAGGAACAAAGTAAATTGTTTTCTTTAACAAAAGACCCAAAAATGGAAGTGAAAAAATAATTTCGAATTACTTGGATTGACACGTCAATATTTAATTTTTTCCTTGAAATAGGATAGAAACACAATAAACTGAATTTTTTTAATTCAAAGTTATACATGTAAAAAAAAAACTTTAATATTCTGTAAAAAAAGTAAATGATAAATTGAAAAACAATAATTGAAATACCATAAGGAGAAGTAGAATATATATATATATATATATATATATATATATATATATATATATATATATATATATATATATATATATATATATATATATATATATATATATATATATATATATAAAAATGAAATTGCTTTGAACGTACTTATGTCAGTGCATTAATGTATGGTTAAAACACCGGTTCACTTTTTTTCGGATAATAGTCATAACATACTTAAAACGCATTTAAAATTTACAATGAATATTTCATAATTCTCTACCAATCGTGTAAACAAAAATCATAATTCCGGTGAATGATGACCCATGCTAAATAAAAATAGTAATACATATACAGTATAAATTATATAATTGCAAAGAAATGTGTTTTGGATAAGTCAAAAAGGTAATGATCAGCCGCTGTTAATAAAACCCTCGATTCATTAATCAGCAAATAAATGGTATGTGCCTTACGCGTTTAAATTGTGCCTTAATATGTATGGTACATGGAAGCAATTTCTTCTAAAAGTTTTCAAATTTTATTTTCCATTTTTTTTTTATTTTTATAAATACATTAATAAGGTATTTAAAATGTCCATCAAAATTTAGAATTTCATTTGTCGAGATGCTAGACAGAATAAGAGCTCCAAACCTGTGTTATGAAAAAAAGGCAATTGCTATGTTATAGTTTATATGTACATTGATTAAAATCGTTCAAAGCAGATTTTATCAATAAAGAAGTTAATTCGAAATATGATTAGACAGTTTCTAATGATTTGCTAAATCTCCTTTTCTTATAAACGTGATATTTTTTATATGTAAACCACAACAATGCATGAGCCTTGTTTAAATTCTGAAGAAATCTAAGTTTTGTATTTCCTTTTTGAATCAACAAATCGTGTTCAAATATGTTTTGATTATTATTAGAATTGCCTTAGTTAGGAATTATAATTTTGAAATTGGTATTTAAAAAATCTGTTGAAACTGTGTCTATGTCCATTTAATGTTAACCATTATTGTAAAGAAATATTTATAAAAGCATTTGTTTATGAAAGGTCTTACTACACTTTAATATTTCTGACATTTGGACATTATAAACTTATCTTATATAAAAATCGTATAATTACCTGATGCTACATACTTCATAATGCTGAATTTTTATTTTTTCATTTAAGGAGATTTCATAATTGGCAGCCACAGCTTGAATGGAATGGCGTTCTCAACAAAGGACATTGATAACGACAAGTGGGGCGGTCAATGTGCAAAGACCTTTCAGCGAGGTGCTTGGTGGTACAACAGCTGTTCGTACTCTAATCTGAACGGACAATATACAGAAAAACAATTAAGCTCAAAGACACATTTATTCTGGGGATCGTCACGAGAGAACATGAAATCATCTAGGATGATGATAAGAACAAAATCCTAAATGAATAAAGAAGAAATTTTGAAAATGACGTGTTATTTTAATTTTATCTACCAATATCTTGATTTATCTAATATCTCACTCTATTTTTGAAGTTGATCATTAAGTCTAAGCTTCCTTAAATTAGAAACGATACTTGTTGAAGGATAATTTTATTTTAGAGGATTTTAAACAGGAAAGTATGAAAATGAGAACATAATATTTAAAATTATCAAATGAGAAGGTATTTCAATTTTTTTTTATTGCAAAGGACATACGCCTGATAGCATTAATACAAACCAACTGTATATAAAAAAGAGAAACAATCGAAAATTGGCGTCAGTCCTTGTTTTTAAGAAACGTTTGACGGTAAAAAAAAAAGCTTAGTACTTAAAGTTAACCCTATATTTTGAAAAATGAGTGAAAAACGAATGTCTTAACAATTATTTTAAAATATCAGTAATTGTAGTTATCCACGTTTGTTTGATATTCAGACAGATAATGGAACTTGAATCTATTGCTTAAATCCATAAAAAAAAAAGTAATCATAAGATCTAGATGTACTTGATAAAAACAGCGTTGGTCTGACAAGAGAAATGAATTGCAAGAGCACAAAGACAGATTTATATGTAATTTCTTAAATATTAGTGGTGTTGTTCATATTCATATTCTGGGAGACAGTTTAATTTCTGGAGGAATCTAGAAAACAAATTTTTGCAAAAAATTCTTAAGTTTTATTAGAGGAAGAACCAAGAATCAGGGATCCACTACATTGAATTTCTTCATGACAGTGTCCAAACCTGCCGGCTCTGAAGAGTAAAGGGGTTTTCGGGATAAACTGAAAATTAATGTTTTTTCACATTAACAATATTCACCAGATCTTTGACCTTTTGACTTGTTTCTATTTCCAAACTTGAAAAAAAACACCTTTCACAGGGAAGAAACAAGTCCAGAAAATCATTGAATCTGCCATTTTCCAGCACCTAAGGGTCATACCAAAAAAAGGAGTCCTAAAAACTATCAGAAATTGGAAAAAAAAATGTTACGGACATATGATTTAATTAAAAGAGATTAATAAGTTAAATCATGAAAACTAAATCATTGAAAAGCGCTTTTTTTCCTTTTTTCCGAGCACCGAGGACATTATTTATTGAACAGCCCTCGAACATTTATTTTTCTGCTGCAAATCTTTCTTAAGTATATAATTAATCATATCACGAACGTTACAGTTGAGTAAAAAAAGAAACGATTTTTACCGTAGTTTTACATTTCTTCAATGCGTATAGTGTAAATGCACGTAGTTTATCAAAAGTCGGCTAAATTTTATATAATTTCCGGGCATGGAGAAATTGCTCCCAGCAATTTTCGGGTTAAGAAATTTGTCTTAAAGAAAACACAATCAATATAATAGTGAAAAATTATCCGTATATCCTTGAACTTTTACGATCTTTGTATCCGTACATATTTTTTCTAATTTTAAACATGTCACGTGACAAACAGCTGATGTACGTGAAGTCGCTTTCGCCGAACTCGGTTGAGACCCCATACATATGCATTAGTATAATTCCCATTAAATTAAAACTCAAGATAATAATAAAAAAATATCTACATTATATTGTTTTTTTTTCGGAATATTTTAAGGCATATTTCCCATGGGCGGTCTTAACCTAGCTGCGTCATCGCTCCATTTTTCTGTAAACCAAAAATGTGTTTTTTATTACAGACATTTTATTTCATCTTTCAAAAAAATCGAGCGCAGACCCATTTTGAAATTTTTTCTTAAGTATGGGAAAATGATCGTTTTTGTTCTTTTTAGTATGTGTAAGCCTTTTCATAGGCAAATATTTTCAGTCTTTGTGAGATTGTTGTAAATTGTAGATATTTTACATAAAGTATACTACAATTTTAGATGAAATATCGAATAAAATTTGGATTCAATTGAGATTAAATTTTTCACTCCTTATCTGTCGCACTATAGGCACTTCGCCCGCCTTCTTTTAGGTATAAACCTTAATATGATAAATATTATTTTCACATCGCATAAGGAAATCGTAATCAAATATCAAGGAAGTTAATGGAATTCATCAATCATTTTTTTTCACTTTTATTCCCGTGTGTTCGCTTCAAAACTAAAAGTTACAAAAACGTGGGAAATTGTTTAGAAAATTAGAAAATTTTATTTAATGTATGAAATTTATAAATTTATTAGGAAATTTATCAGACCATGTGTTAATTGTAACACCTCTTATTTCGATATAGAAGGGTGGGTGTATGGGGAGACTTATCAAAGTCTGTAAAAGTGAGGTTACGTATATAAAATTCTCTAGTGTGTTCAGAAGAAGGATGTTTGAAAAACTAATTGTATTGTATGTAGAGGTACCTAGAACATACACCTATTTACTGAAAAAATTCTAACTTGATTTTATTGTTTTCAACAATTATAAATAAAAGTATTTCAAGTCTAGTGGATATTTTTTTTTAAAAATATAAGTTCAAAATATTAGCAAAAATGGCAATCCAGCTGGTTAAGGTTTTGTAAAATAGCAATCCAATGCTCGCTTGTATCTTAAGTCTTTATCAGATGTTTAATTTTTGTCAGTTTTCATCCTCTTGACTTTTAAATAAATATAGATTAACAGTCAATTATATGACATAATTCCATTTGAAAATGAAGTCAGTAAATTGTGCCCCCGCCTAATATATGATTATAATAGCAAAGTACATGTTTTTACGGCAGATCCGTATCAGATCAAAATGGAAAATAAGAGGTACATGTACATATTGACATTATGTAACAAAGATTCTGTGAAAGCTTTGTTACATTTCATTCATTTGTATATGAGGAGTTGTTGATACGAGTTGGACACCCAAAAGATTAACGGACGGATGTACAGCTAGACAGACCGAAGGACACACAATCGCTATAAACCTCATTTTCAAGCAGGAAGATATTAAAGAAAGCGAATTGTTAGATTTATTAATTTGTAAACAAATGTTTTACAGTGACTGCTTTTTCCTATTTAGTAAAGAGAGAGAGAGAATGTGTGTGTGTGTATGTGTGTGTGTGTGTGTGTGTGTGTGTGTGTGTGTCAATACATTAGACTAACTGTATACTTGTCCATCCACATGTGATACATCTTCAACGCAATTAAATCTTGATCTCAGAAATTAAAATCATTCCTTCATTACAATGTCTGAACCTTAAACTAATTAAATGATTTATTTCCCCCTTTACGAATATAAATAGATTCTGATCGTACATTTCATTGATATTTCAATTCAATTTGTGATATGTACATTTGAAAAGAGGCAGAACGTGTATAAATATTTTTGAAATAATATAAGAAGAAAACATGTATGCTGTAAATTTGTTTTATGTGTCAGTAGTCACTACATATTGGTTCAGTAAGTATCAAAGGACTTATTAATATTTCATGCAATTTTGAAATTTCAATATTTTTTTAAATTAAAACATGTTTTTGAATGATGTACAGCATTGTTAGTTTGCAATTCAATGCAAAATGTATTATCATAATATTCCGGATTTACAAGATATAAATGATTAAATATTGACTGGACACTGGAATTATAGACTGAATAGTTTTAAGTAGTTGAAAATCTTAACTTGTTAATAGTCTCCGGAAATTTTTTGCGATACAATTGTTATTTTCTTAGTAAAGATCAAGTTTTACACTTTGATCAGTTTTATACATTTATGTTTTAGACACGTGTTTCGGAGTTCACACTATATCAGAGGAAATATATCTCCCTTTATCTCAGGAGATAACGATCTCATCACCAGGATATCCTTGGAGAAACTATGAGAGGGACACAAACTATACGTGGATGGTGACAGCACCTGACGTCACAGAGGCGATAGATATCAGGATAGAAATGGATGTTCACAAAACACCAGGATTCCCATGTTATGACTACCTAAAGGTTCAGTATTCAATGTAATATTTTAGTATGTATATATTACACGTGATAATTTTTTTCTAGATAATCAATACTTAACACAAGTTCACCCCTACTAATGTGTTCGGAACCTTTTATTTTTCGGTGTTATAAATTATAAAACCCGATGAGTTCAGAGTAGCTCTGGCAGTGGCACTGGCAAGAGTTAGCGAGACTTCAGCGAGATTGGATAAATTATTCACGGAAATATGGCTAGGAAGTGACTAGCACGTGGAGGCATGGTAAACAGAAAAGTTATGTTGCGTTTCAGTTTTCACCACCCTAGAATCAGTTGATAATGTCTATAGAAATGTACTCCAATCAATCGATCTCTCTTACATTCATTCAAACTTAAATAAGTATATATTCTCTATAATACAATTTTCTGCAGTCATGAATTAAAATTTCTTTTTGGACAAATATTTTTGCATGGAAACCGGGGCTATATTTTTTGGCGTCAGATGAGCAAGTGAGGCACCAGCATGATTTTAACTGACCAATCAGCTGAATGAGTATTGCATTATGGGTTACTACAAATACTACAGGAATTTTACGCTTGAAAAAGGAAAATTTTACGGTAAATAAAAAGCATTTTTAAAAGTATTATTTTCACGCTCATAATGACAAACAATTCATTTGTTAAATAAATGGTGGAATTCAAGGTTTCTGAAAGTCATGCAAACTGCAAAAGCGATTTGCGTTTGTATTAATTCCTTTGTTGTATTATCGGTGAATACAATTGCCAGGTGGATTCCCTTGCCGAACACGTGATCACGAACGTAAACAAAGTCTTGTCCATTTAAATGCATAAGAGATGCTGCTCGTTTTCCTTACTCTTGAAGCGCTGGTGTTCTGAGCTAGACACAAACTACATTTTATTAAACATTTTTTTCAGTTAACAACAAATTAAAAACGCCTGAAACATCTTTCATAGTTCCTTATCTTTGTATTTTGTTCGTTAGAACATTTTTTTTTAATTTTGCAGTCCATTGACATGATCCTAGATTGACCTGAAATACGTGTTCTAAGTAGAATGTAAACATGTATTTGGTGTAAACGTTGCTATT